GAAGTACTGTTGTTCGTGCGACACTAGAAGGGGGAAGAGAACAAGCAATATTTGGCAAAAATGACACGTAGTAAAGCAGGGCAGAATCCTCCCACACGAGACTCAGCAGACGTACCCGCCCATGAAGCCACACCAGTGATTAGGGATGGGCCAGAAGGATATTCCGAGGACGGGTCAATCAGACGGTCTGAGAAAGACAAAACCAAGGAACCGTCTGCAGACTCTGCAAATACGTCGGGCAAAAGTAAAGCTAAGAATTACAGGGGACAAGACACTGTGACGGGCAGATTTGGATCGGGCAAAAGGACCAGCTCGGACTCGCCCAGAACGATCAAAGAAAATCTCGCCCTCAGCTCATCGCGATTTGGCTCTCCGTTCGCATATTCATCTAACCAGAACAAGCATGATTTTTTCAAGGGCCTTCTCCCCGAAAGCACGTGTATTGTATTCGACCAAGTCGTTGCCGAAGCGTCAACCCTGAGAGAGCGCCTATTGGCAGGTGGTGCTCTCACGAATGATGGTAGCAACGGCCAATTTTGCGTCCTTAAGGAATGCGAGTTCCCTAGCATAAATTCCGACTCTAGCAAAAAAAGCAAACACGACGACTCAAAGTTGCAATTCTACTGCTTTGGACCTAGTGGTGATGACGAATTGGAGCTTCTTCTGTTTGTTGACCCTTCAGCTGCAGCCAATCGTCGGACTTACGTTGTTGGAGATAATTCTGTCGACTCCATCGACTCGAGCGATCCTTCATCCACGACAAGCGAAAGTCCCAAAGCTGGCAAGTGTCTCGAGGCTCGCCGCGTCAGGAACTCCAAAACCGGCGAGGTTGAATACTTCGTTGTGAACAATGGCTTGGATATTTTCTCCATTAACGGCACAGATGTGGGCCCTACCACGAGAGCTGGACCTCTTCCAGACTTTGCGGTACTCGAACATGGACACTTTTCTATCTTTTGGTGGCGCACGGCTGCTGCCTTGGACTATATACCAGTAAGAGGATCCATGCTATGTCTCCTGGGCGCTTGAAGAAAGCTAACGATTTCTGCAGAGTCACAAACGCAGACGCCAGTCTGAGGACAGCGACGGAGAATCATCTAGAAAGGCCTTCAAAGGCGCTACCGGTAAGCCCTACCACATCAGAAGCCTGCGTAGGCTAGTATAGGATCTGTAAGCTTATAGATGCCAGACCCTTCGCACAATTCGCAAGTGTTTCCAGAGTCGAAAAGTTGGCTCGATGAATATCGTCGTCGCGTAGAGTTATGTGAAGAAAGGCCTATTAAGTACACATCTTCAATAACAGATCTCCATCCACCGCACCAGCAAAGAGACGACGAGATGCGCGACATCGACGTCATACTTGCCATTGGCGCCGTTTGGCTCGGCCTGATGAATGCGAATATTGATTTTGCATATGCTAATTCAGATCTATTTTCCTTCGCGCGGAGCATGCGAATGGTCGGGATGCATGCTATCAAAGGGACTAATCCTTTCCTCATGCCCTTGATCTTCAGCAAGGAGTTAGAAGCCCTGTCCCCTGAATTAGGCGAAGATACAGCAGAGCCCCTAGAGCCCGTATTCAGCGTGTTTCAACGAGGCGAAGAGCAGAAGAACCAAGAGAACGTTGTTGCAGCCAAAAAAGCACAGCAGAAAGATCCTGGCAACAAGAATAAGCCCCCGCTCTCACTCGAGGATCAAAATATGGAGAATAAAAGGTACAAGGGTGACATCGGCCACTTCGTACTAGCCATTGCCGAGAAGGTCAATAGGGATGGGCCCAATACTATCAAGGATATTCAGATGAAGAAAGCTCTCGTGCGATTGAGATTTATGGATAGCGCCGAAGGACTTTTAGACAAAGGATTGATTCGACGTGTCGCAAGAAATATTGTCAGAAATGCAGGGTGGCTTGGCGACACCTGGCCTTCCTTCGATCCGAATGAGGAAGACTGGGTGGACGTACTTGGACAGTCAGTGAACAGGTGCGGGGAGCATACCGTTTTGAATGCATGGGCTTACATGCTTGAAATTCCACTGGCTACGACGCGAAAAGGAGCATTAGCAAAAGCGTCTTATGAAGACATAAGACGAATGATTGGCCTAGCGCTTCGAGGGCAGCTTGACAGCTTGACTATCCGAGCCTGGATGCAGCATTACAAGTTTGCAATCAGTGAGCCTTTGTCTCAGCTTCAGCAAACCCAGAAACAGAACCCGGATTTGCCGAACAAACTTCGGTACATGCAGACTGTAGCATTGAATGAAAAGGCTTTCAATGAGATCGTTGATGATATGCACACGCAGGAACAGGCTGCTAATCGAGATCATGCAAGGATTTGGGGCGCTGTATCCGTACCACCAGGATGCGCCACGACCCAGCAATCAGGGCATGCTCCTGAGGTCGCGACCGGACTCACATTGCCACTTCCTGGTCAAGGTTCAGCTGCAGGTTCTTCAGACGCCTGCGGTGGTTCAGATAGTTCCTCAGGTTCTTCAGACGCTTCCGGTGATTCAGGTAGTTCCTCAGGTTCTGCGGACACACCTCCACCACCACCGGCTTCTCTTCAAACCCCAGGAACCTGGAAGGAAAGCTTGGTCCGAGGTCTCGCTAGTCACATAGCCTTGAGAGCGAAGACCCCCCGGACTACCAAAGGCGCGCTGAAAGACGCTACAATCATAAGGGACTCCTCAAACATGGCCGATTACGAGGTAATACTTGGCATAGCGCCCATTTGGGAAAGTCTCAAGCGTCTCAGGCGTGCAGACTTCGATTTCACTTATGCTGGGATGGACATTTTCTCGCCTGGGGGTCAACAGGAAGAAGTTGGCGCAGTTGGGGGGTGGAGCAGATTCATCATGCCGTTGTTCTTTTCTTCCACAACATCTGAAGCGCTTGAGGATCAAGTCAAAGGCCAAGAGAGAATCCACCCTGCTGGCCATCTTCTGCTCTGTGTGGCTGAGTTGGTTGACGCCCGTCCGATGACAGTTCAATTACGAATATTTGACAGTAGAAGGGGAACGGTAACAGAGGAACAGATTGCGCTAAGCGCTGAAAGAATCATCAATCATTCTCGCTGGCTTGTTTCGGCTGGACCTGGGATTCAGGTCTTATACAGACCCTGCATCTGGAACCGAGTCCCTCAACAGGTGGGTATCAATACTTGTGGACTGCATGTCATCTTCAATGCTTGGGCAACCATGCTTGGTATCCCCATACATCCGGAAATTTTGCGCCGGGGGCGATGCCGCGAAGAAGAGAACGATGCCACCGACCAAAGATTTTTAGCACAAGGTCTCGAAATCGTCAATCTTGCCCTTGAGGGCTTCATGGATTCGACCACCATACAAGCCTTCTTCAACGTCTACGGCTACTCCGTCGAGCAACGCTTTCGCGATCCTGCACGTTCCGTCATACCAGTCAAAGCAATCGGAATGAACCAGGACAAGTTCGGCCGCACCCTGCGGAAAAGAGTCTGGAGCAGCAAACTTGAGTACGCTGGGGCTATAAAGAGGACGTTTCCGGATGCAACTATGGCGGGATTGATGGCGCAAGGGTTGAGTAGGGATCAAGCGTGGACGGCTCTGGCGATCGCTGGTGGGAACTCGGATGGGGCTTTCCACTGGCACTATTCACAGGACGTTGCTGGAGAGCTGCCGAAGCCTGAGGAAGCGTTGTCGCCGAAGACGCCGGATTGGGGGCGAGAACCTTGACATTGTAACCGGACCACGGCGGGCCGATAGATCACGAACTCTTTTGGCATGGACAAGGAGTGCCACTCATGTACCGTTTATTTAGACGCAGATGTTTCGCAACTCTTCAGTTTCTAGGCATTGTTTTAATTCATCCTTCAATCAATCAATCATCCATCCATCCATTCGTACCCCCCTTCATGCTCCGCCTTAGTACTCTTCACTGTGCAAGTATTCAAAAGACCCCCCAAAATCCAGCCCATCTACTCAACTAAAGCACTCTAAGGTACCTAACCCCAATGTCTTCTTTTTTTCTTTCTTTGCTTCTTACCATCACAGTCCCCAGCTCCTCCATCCGTATACCTACCTACCTAAACCACAACTCATCATCGCGCAGCCTTTACGCGCCACGACAAAGAAGAGAGCCGCGTTGGATGGATACTCCCTCCCTCCAGCAAGTCTACTCCGAGCAGTCGTACATATGGCGCGCGGATTGATTGACCGCGGGGTACGGATACGTTCCGGGCAATCGGTATTGTCGATGTCGGTTTTATAGTCCCCACCGAGTGCTCGTCTTGGACGCTGTGCGTGGGCCGCTGACTATGCGGGAGTTCGGGATGGTTGTTCCGCATTGGTGTGTGTGTGGGGCAGGGGCAGCTTCGTTTGAAAAGCCCGAACGACATATGTATCTAGATGAGATAAGATACATTATCTGATCTACTTATCTCTCTCATCATCGCGTCTATGATGTCTGGCCCCTCTCTCTCTCATGGTCACAATCTCGCGTCCACTACGATAATCGATCCAAGAACAGCCCACCGTAGCTCCCTCTCACCCACACCATGATTGTACGAGGCCTTCGCCCTTGGCTCACCAAACAAGGCTATAGTCTGGATCCATGAACCCAACCACCAGGGTACCCTCTCCAGTCGCGTGATCACAATCCTCTGCGCCTGGACCACCTTATAGCTGAACATGCCGGAGCACAAAAAGACGATGCAGCAATGGTTGCGCAAGATCAAGAGGTTGTTTCTGGGTCTGGTGGGGCGCCGGAGGTGGATGGTGTATGTTGCGTGGTGCCAGCGGCAGGAAGGGGAGAGGCTGTTAGAGGATGTGATGGAGCATTTGGGACAGAAGATGCCAGGGGAGCTTTTGAGGATATGAGTTAGGCGGGGTGTATACCGCATGCCAATCAAATGGGTTGTTGATCGACTTCTGCTGGGGAAAAACAATTCCAATCCCAGGTGAACTCTTAGTAAACTCACCGAACGTAATGATAGCCTGTTACCAACCGTCGTTCAAGGGACAGCTTCCTAATGAGCCTTGTTAAAAATGACATTTCTGTCGCTGTGCAGTCTTTCCTCGGTCGTTCTGTATACTCTCGGGAGCCCGGTCTGCTCAAACGTCTTGTCGTTTCTGATCATCTCCGCAACTCCTTTGGCGGCAAGGAAGATGATGGGCATGCCGTGGCCATTGAAGCCGGCCACGATGTATTGATTTGACTTTCCGGGGATTGGACCGACATGCGGTTGGAGGTCGGAGGTGTAGCCCATTACTGCAATAAGCATTCGATTCAGCACAAGATAGGGATCCATCAAAACAATTATCCAATCAGGGAAGGCTTTAGATTGACTTACTCCCAGTCCACACTTTGTCCACATAGGCTCCACTTTCTTCCCACCCGACAAATCGTCGTTGCATATATTCATCGAAGTATTCCTTTGCAGGCTCAATCAGCTCATTATCATTAGTGTTGTCATACCACACGCTTTTGTCGTTCGACATCGTGGCTTTGGCGCCGCCAACTATAATACTTCCGTCCACCCGCGGAATCAGATAGTCGTACATGCCATGGCCAGTCCGCAAGCTATATGTATTGTTCAGATAAGGCGCCTTGTTTGGATCAGGCGCCACAATACGGCTGCATATCCCTCGACAAGGCACGATCTTCTGCGAGTACTCGGGAAGAATGCCGGCCGTGAAGCCATTCGAGGCGAAGACTACCTTCTTAGCTGTGATGATTCCTCTGGGAGTGGTGACGGCGTAGCGCTCGCCGTCGTCCGGAGTCGAAGTTACATGCGTTACAGGCGTATGGGTCTGCAAATTGAGCCCTTTGGCAACTGCGAGGCCGAGAAGATGCATGATGAACTTGTAAGGCCAGAGATGCGCCGCGGTGAAGCTGAAGCAGCCTTTGGCGTCTTTGACTCCGGATACTCGTTCCGCATACTTTGCTGGTGTAAAGTGCGCGTCTTGAATAGAAGTCAAGCCTCTCTTTACCATGCTATCGTACGCTTCTTTGGACTTGTTGGCGAATTCTTCGTCTAGGAAAACATCAAAGGTCCGGGTCAGAGTAAAGTCGCAGTCAATGTGCTCTTTCTCGATCAGCTTCTTGATTGCTTGGATATGAGCAACTTCATGGTTGGAGATCTCAGCAGCAGCTTCCAGGCCGTACTTTTCGATGTAGTCGGACATACCGAAGTAGACTTCTGGTCTTAGATGGCCGCCTTAATGCTCGTCTTCATCAGCTGCTCATCGCTAGCGGACCAACACAACCTACCATTCCTCGCTGTGGCTCCTGAACATGCTTGACGGGCTTCTAACAGCACGATTGATGGAGGCGATGGGTTGCCATCATACAGATGATAAGCAGTGGCTGTGCCAGCATATCCTGCTCCAATGATCACGAGGTCACATTCGGTTGGCATATTCTCGCTACTGCGGTAACTGTCCAACTCATGAGGTTCTATTCTCCAAAAAGGAAGCGTTGAGTCGGGATTTGGGTAGGAGGGCTTGTTGTCCAAATTCATGGTTGCCACAGCCAGATGGAACATTCACAAGACAAGAAGAAGCCGATTTACATTGCAGTGAAAGAAGGCACCTGCAAAAGAAGAGATCAATAGACTGGACCACGAACAGTCGTTCTATCAAATCACACGAGAATTTACCGACTGACAATCTGATACCGGTTGAGTACGCCAGACGAGATCTAACGATTTCCAGCCTAGCGCAAACCGGGAGACGCCGCTGTCAGAAAAGTCACCTCAGCATCGCGAGAGATGGATAATCAATACTCTCGGTGTTGAGATCAAAAAGCAGTCCCCGTATAGTAAAATATTCGACAAGTGACACCTTTTCACATGCTTCTAGTCGGCCATAAATTGGGGATTCGGTCCACCGCAAACCCTTACTTTTTCTGGCAAGGCACCCCCCGGCGACCATTTGACAATTGACCCACGGATCTAGAGTCCGCTCCACCAAAAATCACAGAAACACTGGAGCCACAGACTGGAGAAGGGACAGCTATTGTTGCTCGAGCGCATGTAGGCCCGAGACTTGCATGTGTAACGGTTTTCCGCGTGGGTTCCGAGGCTGCTTCGGCCACCTCCAGCACTGCTCCAAGATGCGTGCAGCCCTAGGAGAGAGAACGCTTTACCGCAAAACGTAATCCGACTGCCACTCAGCGGGACAGAATCGGTCTCGTGCATAGGAATTGAAGCACGATGAGAACACTGGGAGATTTCCCCACTTCAAGCTGATAGTGGCAACTGGAATATAAAATCTGGCGTCTCGGATGGAGAATGGGTACGCAACTTTCGACTCTCGTTCGAGGCAAGTACACAATGCTGCCAACCAAAGACAACGACACTGAGACATACGAATCTCCCATCGATCAATCTGCGGAAGAAGTTGCCAAGGACAAGTCAGCTTTTCAGAGGCTGAAAACATTTCATGGCCGGTATCTAAGTAGAGAAACGTGAGTTCGATTTATTTACCTCTGATGCAATTCCAAGCATGTTGCCCGAAGATTTCGTATTGACAGCGGCGCAAACCCATAAACAACTATACTCGATGCCAAGTACTTGGCCTGAGCTGTCCCCGCACGTCAATGTCAGCTTTGAGCGGTTTTGACCATGATTTGTTAAATATATATACGCCCATCACGACCGCCACTTTCTTTTAACAGCGTACCTGATGCACGCATTTGATTTCCCAACGTCATCAATCTCTAACTTGTCTTTCCAGATATCAAGGCTCGTTAATTTTCAATCTTTGCGCCTTCCTCCTCCCAGCATTATACAGCACGCTCAGCAAGCTATGGATCGCAAACATCGACCCAACCCAAGTGGTCACCACCGATGTCTACACCTACATCGGCACCGTGGCAAATGTCCTCAACGATGGCCTTCCAAGAGCCGCTTGGCTCGTCATCGGAGACAAAGCCACCAGGACCATGTCCTCTCGACTCGGCCTATCATACACCCTCATTCTCTTCCAGACCGTGCTAGGAGCCATCATGACCATAGTATTCATCGCGGCTTCCAATCAGCTTGCCGCCGCCTTCGTCCCAGCGCAAGTCAGAGAGGCATCCATAACATACGTTCGCATCTCTTCGGTCTCGGCACTGTCTTCTGCCATGCAAGTCGCTGTATCGGACTGTACACGGGCTTTGGATAATCCGGATGTACCATTGTTGATCAGCTCGACGAGTTTCGTCATCAACATCATGCTCGACCTGCTGATCATCTCCAAGTTCCATGTGGGATCATGGACGCCAACGATCATTGATCAAGCCCTCATCAGGCTCGCTTGTGACATGAGCTCCGCCCTTCTTGGGCTTGTGTATTTTATCTACATTGCGACAAAGATGCACCGAAAGTCCAGTGAAGACTCCGATGAAACGATAAGGCCCGGTATCAGAGCCTTCAAAGTCCTCGCCCGTCCATCAGTCTACACTTTCACGGAGTCCGCAATCCGAAACTCGCTGTACTTGTGGCTCGTCAGCAGGATCATTTCGCTCGGCGAGAGCTATGGCACTGCGTGGGGTGTGTTCAACACGATCCGCTGGGGGCTGGTCATGGTGCCAGTCCAAGCTTTGGAAGCATCCACGCTAGCATTCGTTGGCCACAATTGGGGCCAATGGCGAGCACGCGTGGGAGTTGGTTTGCGAAAGCCCAAAGCCTCCAGACGGGACCTTTTGGGTATGGTTTTCCCATCTTCGTCGTGGCTTTTGGTCCCCTGCTAACCCTCCGCTCGCGACAGACATCATGCACCCAGCATTCATCTCTTGCGTCATTGCCCTCGTCGTCGAAGTCCCGGTCTGTATCTGCCTTTCACTATGGGGCATGGAATCCTTCGCGTACTATCTCTCCGACTCCACCGAAGTCGCAGTGATAACCAAGAAAATGTGGAAGGTCGGCTCCCTCCCTCTCACCCTCTCCCAACCCCTCCACTAAACATCCATCCAGAACATAGACTGGTGCTACATCTTCTACGCGGTCCAGTACCAACTCGCCGCCATCCTCCTCGCCACCAGTCCCCGCTGGTACCTCTACCAAGCCCTCGGGTCCAACTTCCTCTGGATCCTCCCCTGGGCCATCGTCGTCACCAAGGTCCGGCTGTCGGAAGAGCGCGCGTGGACGTTCTACGCGATCATCTTCGGCGGGGCGCTGGTGTTCGATCTCTTCGACGTGGGTATCACGCTCGGGGTTTGGGCCTGGCGGTTAGCGAAGGGGAAGGTCTCGCTGGGGAGGGTCCACAGTACGCTCTAGGCTGGGATGGGCATGAGGGGCAGAGAAATGGCGGAGTCGATCGCGTAGAAGGGTCGAGGTCATTTTGGCTAGAATCTTCTACCTCCCTATCAATCCACGTCCCCTGAAGCCAGACTCCCAACACCGCAAGCGGAGAAAATGTCACGCACTGGCACTGGCGTAGGAAGCAACGGAGGCGTCGCGGCTGGGGAGGTGATCAAGGCTGAAATTCAAAGCGGGGCATTCGGCAGTGATGGAAGGTAAAAGGTATCCAATTCGTAATAGGTTCGATTCCTCTTGGCGCTGGTACAATGGTGTTGCGGTGTTTCTGATTTTCCGGCAGCGCCAATACTGCAATGTTGCCGTTGCATCTTCCCCAAAGGTCGTAGGTTCGAATCCCGGTTATACCTGGTTTGCTCAAGTGCTGCAGCAGGAGTGGATGTCTTTTGTCGTGCGGGGGCATGCACCTGTGGTTACGGTCGAGGTTAGAGGGTATTCAATTTGTGATAGGTTCGATTCCTGTTGGCGCTGGTACGATGGTGTTGGGGTGTTTCTTATTGTCTATGGAGGCGGAGGGGAAATGTGCGGAAGTCAGTGCTGAGTGGTTTGGGAGATGGTTGAAAGGATGGGAAGGAGGAAGAGGAGATGAGACAGGAGAGGGACAGCAGGAAGAGCGGGAGGGGGATGAGGATCGTTGGTGAGACGTTGAGGGAGGCTAAGGCCGATAAGGGAGGAAATATAGAACAATATTGGAACCTGTGTCCGGGCAGAAGAGCAAAACGTAGAAGATCTCGTGTTAGGAACATTTGGAATCGGTTGGGATGGAGTCACATCTGCGCCGCCCCACCGGAGACGATACCCAAGAGCAGGGTAGATGTGGACTGATATACCCGATCCTGTTTTAAACGATACAACGCTTAGATGGTGAACCCTTACAACTTGCTCGCTGGTTCGAGACAAGGCGATTAGAAAAGCATAGGTGATGAGATGCTGGAATTCCATATCGATGAGGCATGATGAGTTCATCAACGTAAAACAAAGAGCACTGTACTGTCACATCCTCAGAGCATGGTCATCATTTACCAGGAGGGCTAATGTCGGCGTCTTGAATGGTTTTGCGCTGGACTCGACTCCTGGTATGGATATTCATGCGTGAGACGCTCGCTTGCTGGTATGAAAATAATTACAGTCGAATGACTATACCGCCCTGAAACTCATGCTGTTGAATTCTAACCATCCGACGAATTTCGTCTAGCCTCCTGAGCCTTGTGAGCCGGCTCCGGCTATGTCAACAAGGTACTGGGCAACAGTGTTGATATCACCTAAGGAGAAGAAGACTACTTAGCGCCCATCCTTTCCACTTTTGTCTCTGCTCATATAGATGTCCGCATACTTTTTCGTTTAGGAGGCCTTCCACCTTTGTTCTTCCCCGGTGCCTTTTCACCCCGTTTCCGCTTATACCCGGCAGGTCTCGCGGTACCGTTCGGTAATTCATCATCTTCCATCGATATGGGTGTGCGTTCGGGTCCGCTGCCCTTCTTCCTACGCTGGGATAGTGGTGGTATTTCGAGTGCTTCGGCCGTCGCGACTTCGCCTCTCTTCCGCCGAGCGGGCGGCGGTGACATTCCGGCTGAGGAGGGATCGAATGATGGTTGGAGGTTAGTATCGGGATGGGAAGCTGAGCGCCATGCTTGGTTCAAGGCTTGCTGCATTCCGTTTGTCGCATTAGCTACTTGCTTGTCGACGTTGTTTCTCATTGTGACCAGCTTTGCGTGTATCTTTACCGAAGCCTCGATATGCCGTTGGAGCTGTTTGTTCAGACTATCCGCGCTCTGACCGACGACCTCTTCGTCGGAGTTTTCCGGCTCGAATGTGCCATCGTCCCAGACAGCGTATCCTAGTCTCAGCTTCTCATTTTTCGTCAATCCCAGCTGATGTACGCCCGTCTCGTCCGTTCTCTTCGCCACAAATTCTATATTCACCATGTCGTCATCCGGGTTATGCTCGTTGGTAGAGAAGCTGAAGCGGAGGTACGGATAGCCAGACTCGTCGCGCACTTCACTAAAAGTGATCATGGCTTCATTCTCCACAGAACCTTCGCCAGGTGCTTTGTTTGTAGCCAGGTCGAGACGGTTGACGATCTTATCTTGGTAATCCATAATGTATTCGAGCTCGAGGCTGCCGAAATTGAGAGAGACATTGAAGTGCCTACCAACGCCTCCTTCCTCGGCAGGTAATTTTTGAAATTTCAGCTCCCAATTTGAGAGGTCTATTTGTGAGCTCCAATCCAGCGTTCGCCTCTTTCCTTTGCAGTATGTCCAGACAACGTGGTAATCGCCTTCAACGTGTTCCACGGGAAAATGTTTAGGCGTGAGTTGCTATGAAGGAGACTTATGGTTAGCGAAGAATCCCATAGCATTGTATCATAGAACATCATACTAGGCCATCTGTTAGATCCCCGTCATCGAAATACCTCATGATGGCAGCCGCTAGGTCCGCTGGGTCCGCTTCCAGTTGTCCAGTAACCAGTGCGCTCTATATTAAGGAGAGAAGATACGTAGCAGATCCACGCACACGGGCAAGAAAAAGAAGTACAGAGTGGGGAATGGGTACGGGATGGAGAAAGATTGCGCTCGAAGAGGAAGAGGAAGAGATGCGGTGGCACGGTGGCTGGGGAAAAGGCTAGCGCTGGGCAGCGCTTACCTTAAACTTCGTCGTAAGTTATAAATTGCAAATTAAATAAGAATGCTTGGCAAAGCTGATCCAGCTCCACCTCCGACTTTTTATTAGCGTTATTCATAGAAAATTGTAGAGAATATACTTACTATTCTTATAATAGCCACTGTTATTTACTATTTTAATTAAATATTCGCGATATTAAAGCTAGTAAATATATACGCTTTTTCTAATATTTTATCTCTAACTTAGATATATAATAGCTATATCGCTAGCCCTTACTTTAAACGCGATATTATTATTTAAAAAGAATTTCTTTATATATTAATATACTTAACTCTTACTTAAATCTTATTAGCGATTTAAAGTTATAGCTACGAATATTTATTTTAATATATTAATAGCGTATTAATAGAAGTAAAATTTTACTATTTATAATAATATCGTAATCTTTTATAATAGATATATTTATATATAAGAGCGATGCCGTAATCTCTTATCTACTATTTTAAATATTTTTCTTAATTATTAGCGTTAAAAGCTATAGCTATATTAAGATAAATTAATATAATTCTTAAAAGAGAAGTAGAATATTAAGATCTATAAGTCTATTATTTATAGAGCTCTAAAATAGATTAGAGTTATATATAAGAAGAATTAAAGAATCGATTTTTAAAGTAACGTACTTCATATTATATAGTAGATATTTATAAGTTAGATTAAAACGGAGTAACTAATCTTTATTAATAAGTTATTATTTAAGCTATAAATAATATAGCGGTTTATAGTCTATACTTCTATTAATAATCTTACTTAATATTATAGTAATATAAATAAGATAATACTTTTAATATTCTATCTATATATATTACTATTAGCTATCTACTCTATATTAAAATTAAAAAAAGCTATTATAGTAAGAAAGATATTCTTAATTAACTAATTAATCGATTATTATTTCTTTATAACGAGTATTTTAAAAAGCGTAATATTATTATTCTAGATAACGTTAGCGTTTATATTAATTCTTATATTATTAAGATTATATAGACTAAAGACTATTTTATTAAATATCTTTTTTTATACTTATTTAATTATAATTCTATCGAATTAATATTTAATATTCTTAAGGCGTAAATATAACGTTATTTTAAGATCTTTTAATATATCTTTTAGAATGACTTTAAAGAATTTCTAAAGTATATAATCGATATTAATAGTTATAATAGATTTACGATAGAGTATTTTAAGTATAATACTATAGACTATATATTTAATAATAAAATTAAAATATTTAAATAAGATTTAAAGTATTTAATTATAGAGATCGCGGAGTAATTATAATAAAATACTATATAATATTAATTAAATTCTTTACTTTATTTCTATCTTTATTTTAATTATTCTAGAGTATAGATATACTAATAAATCTTTCTTTATAAGATCTTAAAGATTAATAAATCTTCTTTTAAATCTCGAAGAAGATTATATAATAAATCTTTACTTATTATATATTTATAAATATTAATAAACGCGTTAAATAGAGCTTTTATATTATTTATATCTTATATCTACTATTTAATAAACATCTAAATTTAATAGATCTAGAGCTTTCTCGCCGCTTTATTTATTATAAAAGCGTAGTTTACTAGCGGTTAGCTAGCGGATATAGACTATAAAAGACGTAGAGTTATTATGAAATTTAATAATATATTTAATAGTAGAATTAATCTTTAAGAAATATTAAAACTTCGAGATATATAAAGTAAACTTATATTCGTTAAGCTTCTAGATATATAAGATATATTATTAAAATTAGATTCTAAAAGAAATCTTAATATAATATATATAATATCGAAGTCTTAGCGTAAATAGCGCTAAGGCTTATAATAGTATTAGATTTAATAATTATCTCTTCTTTTAAATCTTAATTTTTAGATATCTAAAAAAATAGAATACTTATTAAAAAATCTTTAAACTCTAATAGAGAAATAAGAGAAAAGTATTAATTTATTACGATATCGTTTTAACGATATAATAGAACTAATTATTACGCGTTATAAATGCGCTATTAATATATTATATAATAATATTAATACTACTTTTAAGAATAATATCGCTTCTATAATACTAATCGATAATAATTTATAGTAAATTAACGCGCTTAATATTAACGTTTTTATAGCGCTAATTAATAGTCTTTATAGCGAATAGATATTTAATTTAAAAATTTATAATAATCTTTAAAACTTTAATAAGTAAAAAAAGATAGAAGAGTTTTTTTATAAACGACGTTATTTTTATAGCGTATTAAGTTAATAGCGAAATAATATAATAATAACTTC